CTCGTAAAAGAAAGCTTTTTGACAATTTGGATGACTGTCATAAAAGAACAAAGACTCCCAGAAAAGTACTTGGAAATCTTAGGTTTTAATCACTGGGACATTGATTTGAAATAATATAAATTATAATGCAGTTTGTGAATATGCTGAGGTGTTAAAATGTAAACAATTGCAAATATGTAATTAATAAATCATATAAATCATTTATTATTCGCTCAAATTTTGGCTTGTCTCTTAAACAATTTGTAAAAAAATTTAAATCATGCTTAAATAGTTCGTGTAACGTTCCGCTGGCTCGGGCCAAAAAAGGATGATACCTATAATAGGAAATTCAAAATTTAAACAATACCCTTTTGTATACAATTCATATTTATAAAAAGTTGTAAAAAAAAAAAAAAGATTTATTTTTTTATGAATCAAAATATTAAACAATTTATTGGTAAGATATTTTATCTACGATTGCATCGATTCTTTGAATGCGAATTGTGATTATGATACAAATTGTTTTACAATTTGAATTAATAAATGTTCATCAAGAGTTATTCGAATCGATTTTTCGGTTATTAACTACGTAACTTACTCATCATCTTTAATTCTTTTCTCTTTTTTTCTCTACCATTTTTTTTTTTTTTGTTACGATGATATTTTCAGGAGGGAAATGATTTAGCAAAAGTTCCAAGAAGTATCGTAAGAGAATTTGTAGAAAAACATAATGATCACTATCGCAAAAATTTTAATAGCGAATAATGGTATAGCAGCTGTTAAAGAGATTAGATCTATTAGAAAATGGTCTTATGAAACCTTTGGTGATGAATGGTCAATACAGTTTACTGTGATGGCTACTTCTAAAGATTTAAAGATTAATGCTGATCAATATATCGAAGTACCTAATAATTATATTTATTTAATGTTTCATTAACTGTTGATATCGCCGAACGTACTGGTGTTCATGCTGTTTGGGCTGGCTGGTAAGCATTCTTCTAAAAAAAAAAAAATTAATAATAATACCGTGTATATATATTAATTTTCTTTTAAATTAATGAAATATTATTTGATCTTTCTCATCTATAGGGGACATGCATCCGAGAACCCTAAATTACCCGAATCATTAGCGCAGAGTAAACATAAGATGGTTTTCATTGGTCCTCTTAGTTCAGCAATGCGTTCGTTAGGTGATAAAATATCATCTATAATCGTTGCTCAATCCGCAAATTTTCCTACGATGGATTGGAGTGGTAATGATGTCACCCAAATTGAATTTGATGACAAGGTCATGTTATTATTTCCGAAAGTGTTTACGAAGAGGCGTGCATCAAGGACGTTGATGATGGGTTAAATAAAGCAAATGCTATCAGGATCAAAGCTTCAGAGGGTGGAAGAGGAAAAGGAATTAGAAAAGTGGAAAATCCAGATAATTTTAAGCAACCATTTGCTCAAGTTCAAGGTGAAGTTCATGGTTCACCGATTTTCATCATGCGACTTGCTCGAGATGCTCGTCATCTTGAAGTTCAAGTTTTAGCGGATAAATACGGAATGCGATCTTCTTATTTGGAAGAGATTGTTCGGTTCAAAGGCGTCATCAAAAGATCATTGAAGAGGCTCCCGTTACGATTGCAAAACAAGAGACATTTGAATCGATGGAAAATACTGCTGTCAGATTAGCTAAATTAGTTGGTTATGTTAGTGCGGGAACCGTTGAATATCTTTACAGTCATGAGAAAGATTTTTTTTTTTTGTTTTCTTGAATTAAATCCAAGATTACAGGTTGAACATCCTACGACAGAAATGGTTTCTGGTGTGAATTACCTGCTGCTCAATTACAAATCGCTATGGTATTTCCATTTATCAAATTCGTGATATTAAAGTGGAATTTCCGAGATTGATTTGATTTTTCGGATCCTGAGTCTCTTCAAACCTGCACCAAAAGGTCATGTAATATCGTTCGTATAAAAGCGGAAATCCTGACGCAGGATTTAAACCAAGTAGTGGTATGGTGCATGAACATTATTTTCGCAGCAGCACGAATGTTTGGAATATTTCTCGGTCAATTCTGCCGGTGGCCTTCATGAGTTTGCTGATTCTCAATTTGGTTACATTTCGTTATGGGGAGAATCATCAACAATCTCGAAAGAATATGATAGTCGTGCTTAAGGAATTGTCTATTCGTAGGGACTTTAGAACCACGGTGGAATATTTCGTCAAAATTGATTGAAACTCAAGCTTTCGAAGATAATAGTTTTACAACGGGACAACGGGTTGGTTGGACGTGTTAATATCTGATGAAAATCTAACGGTCGAAAAGCCTGATAAAATGTTGTCTGTGATATGCGGTGCAGTGACCAAGGCTTATAAAGCAGCCATGGAATCCATAATGGAATATTAACGCTTCTTGGAGAAAGGACAAATCTTTAGCAGAGAGATATATTGCGCACCGTCTTCATCATCGATTTCCTTTATAAGGCATCCATTATAAATTTACCGCTATTAGATCAGCTCCAGATTCTTTCACACTTTACTTGAATGGATCAAGGGTGCAAGTTTCTGTTCGATGGTGGGTTATTAGTTTTGTTAGACGGAAAAAGCCATACTTGTTATTTTCGCGAAGTTCAAGGAATAAGATTGATAATTGATAGTAAAAAAATTGTTTACTTGAACAAGAAAATGATCCAACACAACTTCGTTCGCTCTCTCCTGGAAAGCTTGTGAGATGTTTGGTGGAGTCTGGCGATCATGTAAAAAGAGGTGACGCTTACGCTGAAATTGAAGTAAGTTTTACAATTTTTATCGATTCGTAGAAGAATCATTTTAAATTTTATTATATTATATCATCTAAATTATTTATTTTAACATTGATATTATTCGGTGATAAAAATGTACATGACACTTATCGCAACAGATAATGCTATTGTTCAATTTATAAAACAACAAAACTCGACGTTCGAATCCGGTGACATTATAGGAGTTCTCACTCTTGATGACCCTAGTCAGTTCGTCACGCGTTGCCTTTTGAGTGAGAATTTCCTGCAATGAATCCGCCCGTTCTAGTTGATGGCAAAGAGATATTGTAAAGTCAAGCATATCCTTGAATGTTATAGATAGTCATTATGGAGATGATGGTTATGATTACCGAACCCCAAGTTATGATTCTCTCAAAGCATTAATTGATACGCGAGTTGCTGTTTTCGTAGTTCTTCCGAATTTCTTTTATCATCATGATAGTTGGGTTGGGCTTGCCGCATTAGAAGGTTACGCGCGCTTATCGTACTTATAAGCGTTGAATACCACACAGATCAATAGTGCTACGACTTATAGTCCAACTGGTTCGGGTATGAGACGTTCATCTTCAATATCAGATTTAAGTTATTTGGTTCCGAAAACCAAGAATGAACCATTTTGTGTTGGCGCCATGATTTCCTGCACTTTGAATGAAGAAATAGAAAGAAATATACCACGAATTTTAAAACTTTTTCCAAAAATACAAACTGTCAAAGGATGGAAATCTCAGGATCCATTAGATAGAAACAATATAAATAATGTTTTGAACATCGCTTTAAGGCTGGAAGATGATGCTATAGAGGATGAAGCTTTGAAAAAACAACACAAACCCCTTATACAACGACATTCTTATGAATTACGTGAACATGGGATACGAAGAATTACTATTGTCCTATTTCGTAA